AAATGAACAGAATTTTGAACATAGATAATGAACAGATTCTGTTAGATAGATAGATAGATAGATAGATAGATAGATAGATAGATAGATAGATAGATAGATAGATAGATAGATAGAAAAAGAAAGAAAGAAAGGAAGAAAATGAACAGGTTGAGAATGATAGATAACAAACAGGTTGTGAAAGATATATAGATAGAAAATGAACAGGTTGATATATATATATATATATATATATATATATATATATATATATATATATATTTAGAGAGGAAAATAGATAGATAGAAAATAGATAGATAGATAGATAGATAACAGATTGAGATAGATAGTTATGAATGAAGAGATAGACAAATAGAAAGATAGATATTAACTTAGATAGCCAGACAGACAGACGGATAGATAGATAGATATGAAAATACTTACAAGATGAACAGAGATAAACATGGAAAATTCGATATTAAGCAAAATTCGAACACACACATATCTATCTATATATATATATATATATATATATATATATATATATATAGCAAACGAATCAAAACAGTATCTGAGAAACCCCTCTTTGCCTTCCCTCAGCATGGCTGATGCTATCCTCCACGAAAGTGACTTATTGCCCCTTCACGTTTTAACGTCCCAGCGGACATAAGGTGGAAAGAATCCAGCGCCAGATCGTCTGCTAAGAAAGTCGGTTCATTGAGTCGAGCGAGTATCTATCTTGCATATCTATAAGTCTACCATTCTTCCATGCTTGAAATATTGCTGCCATATATAGTCTGGTGATTCTGCTATTTTCCTGGAGCTCCTTGATGCGATCCAAAGAAGAATCAATATTATTATCGGTTCTTATACTCATTCGTAATTGATCTAGCGAGACAAGTTTGCTAACCATTAAACCATGTCGAAGTGCTGAAATGATTTTATATGAGTAGCTTAGATGTGGCATACTGCCGAAAGTATGGGAAACTCAGTGAGAATCGAACTCACTATTCATTCGTAATTGATCTAGCGAGATAAGCTTGCTGACCATTACACAACATCGAAGTCCTCTAATGGTTTACTAAGCGTTGATTTGACATAAAGTCAAAAGTATGGGGTATCCAGTGAGAATCGAACTCACTATTCAGTCGTAATCTGTCGAGAAAAACTTGCTAACCATTATACAACGTCGAATTGCCCCCCCCCCTACACAGAGCTTATGGAAGGAAATCTACGAGGAGGGGAAATAGACTAAACTCTATAACAACTTTGAGTTAGTGTACGGCAGTAGTAATCTGGGGGTAAAATGGATAGTTTAGTGACAAGAGTTACTTAGATCAACAAAAACAGGAAAACCGGAAATTTTGTAAAGCCACGATAACCAACTCCCTGAAAGGACACGAAGTTTAAAAGAGAAAAAAAAGCTTTGATGCAATTTTCAAACGGATTTCTCTGATCCCTTTGTGCATTAAACACGTATTGACTGGATTGCCACAAGATAGGAATATCCGCTGGGCTTCAATGACTGGATTGAAAAAGCTGAATGTTATTAATGGAGATGATCCCTGTGAAGAAGAAAATCTTTCACAATCCTTATTTTGAAAGACATCCTTGGAAGGGGTGGGCAAATCTTCGTTTCATAATTTTTAATAATATTCATTGCAGATATCTCCATAGCAAGAGAGATATTTACAATAAGTTGCCAAATTCATTATCTATACCTTGTGAGCAAAGTTGTTGAGTTGAAAGATGGTTTATAGTGATTTTCCAAGCGTAGCTTAGATGTTGCACAAAGCCGAAAGTAGGGGGTTCCCAGTGAGGATCGAACTCACTACTCAAACGTAATTGTTCTAGCGAGACAAACTTGCTAGCCCTTACACCACCTCGAGATGCCCAGAAGCGATGGTTTATATGTGTCGCTCAGAGACGTTATTAGCTAATTATTAAATGCAATTGCAAACTGTTTCCACTTCATTGACGCCACATTTTTAGTAGCGTATTTATTATTTCGTACATCGTTTTATAAAATTCATTAATCTCTCCGGTGATGGTAACATATGGACAATTTTGTGTTTGTACACTAATAAATATCTTTTGGGTATGTGGCCGTGTGATCAGAATTTTAATGTTCAGACCAGAAGAGCCAAAGTTCAAAATTCAACATAGAACATTTATCAATAAAATGGCATGTTTATAGTATAAACGGGGAGAATAATGATTAGAATAATAGAGTAGTGAGTTCGGTCTTCACAGGGTGGCGCTTACTTTCGGCCTTGTGCCACATCTGAACCGCGCTTAGAAAATCACTTTAGACTTAGGTGAGATAATCCATTGTATGCTACTGCTGGAAATATTTGGTTTGACCCTAGCCTTGTAATGAAATTGGGTAGACGAAACTTGTCGGAAGCCGACATTTGTTGCGTTAGCAGGAAACCATAAGTCATCGTGACCGATGGTTTGCGTACTGGTTTTGTTCATCTACTGAGCATGCCAACTTAAGCGCTCTCTCCCAAAACCTGTTACTAAGGGTGAAATATAGTCGTTTCCTTATATGGAAATATTCGTATTGATTGACCGAAAGAACGGTTAGCATTGTTGTCAGTCGAAATTTTTCTCTCACGATTTTCTAGAGTCCAATATGTGTTATTGATCTTTCTAATATCGATACGTATCTTTGTTGGTGAGCTTTTGTGTAATGTAGTGAGAACATTAAGGCCATTTTAAGGCATTTACTGCATAATTGTATTATAAACCACATGTTGTTTCCGTGGGTGTTGAAGAAATGCAAATGTGCCTGAGTAGGTGTCTGCAACAGGAATCAGCCACTTACTTCTCTGTGCTGTGTCACTTTAGGACGTGGGCCACTATGGCTCTCCACAATCTCCTATCTCTTGTAAGCGTTAACAAGGTATGTCCCTCTGCCAAACCTCCTCCCCCTGTTTAACCGTCCTTTCCCCAAAGCTAGTCAAATAAGTGGATATGACGTAAGTGTTTGGGCTATTTTTGTCCAACGAAATTTTCTTATTTCTTTAATCATCCTATTTGTTATGGATTCCGGGTTGAAATCCGGTACCAATAAATAACAAAGGCCAGGAATGAATATAGGAAAATAATGTATGAACGTAATAATACAAACTGGTAAAGAAAGTTAGTAGTTCCAGGAATACGGGTTAGTAGCAAATATATATATACAGTCTTTGGTATTGAAGTATCGCTGTATGACATCTTACTGAGTCTATGTGCTCGTTCACTGTGACTCCTACAACGCTGTTACCTCACTCTCACTCTTCCGGTTACCTACAACCTTTTACTCTGTCACTCTCGACTCGACTCCTCTTGCTCTCTCGGGTCTTCACGTAGCCGTAGTATATATATATATATACTGAGTGAGTCCATTTGTGTAAAAAGGGGAGAACCCCTCAACATCCCCGCTCCTTAGATCCCTTTTTGGGGGGATTTAATATCTTTTCATTTTTATGATCGATAATCAGAGGCTCTGTAATTTTTCTTTTCCTGCTAGTCCTTCTAATTTCTGCCTCTTCTTGTGGTCTTTGAATCTCAAACGCTTCAGAGATCGCCTCCATCGAATCATTCTTTTCAGCCGGTGACGAGCTTGGCTCTTCAGCCCGTCTTTTTTGTATTTGTGTGTAAATTTTTCTCCTTGTATTATGTATATCACGTTTCCTAGTCTGTTAATTATTTTTTTCAAAGCTCCCTTTACTTCTTTGTCGACTTTCTCTATGGCAGCAAACGGCCCGTTCCGCTTCTTTTTAAATACTGGTTGGATGTTTTCTTTTAATTCAATTCTGGCTGCAAACTTGTTGCATCGTCCCAACCTGCTCGAAACTCCCTCGGGGCATTGATTATGTAATTCTTCCTTTAGTTTTATAACTTCTGATGTTTCGCACTTTATCTTTTTACAAAAAGAACTGAGAGGTAAATCCCATACGTCGAACTTCTGCATCCAGTCCGTGCCCACCAGATTTTCTGTATCTTTCATTACGAATATTTTGAGTTTTCTTGTTTTCCCGTGAAATTTTACATTTAGGATTACTTCTCCTTCGAATTTTATACGATTTCCTGTAACAGACTTAGCAATTTTCTGTGTATGTAACATTGTTGGTCTATTAATCTTTTTCCATGTTTGTAGGTTAATTAGCGTCAGATCTGAACCTGTGCCAAGTTGTAATTTTATCTTTTTATTTAAGATTTCAAGTTCTACATATTTACTTATGTTAGTATTGTCTTTGTCATGCATTCTTGTAGCACTTATCCTACTAGTAAATTTTCTGTTCCTACATTGGGATGCCTTGTGACCCATTTTTCCACACGCAAGACAGTTTTTTATATTTAAAACGACAAGCCTTATTCCAGTGTAGTCCTCCACATCGATAACATGCAGATGGGGGGCGACTTATATTTACTTTGATTTTTGTCATTATTTGCCCTGTACGTTGTACTTTTTTTCATTATTATAGAATTTTGGTTTTCTTTCCGGGGAGGGTGAAAATCTTTTTTCATTATTATAGAATTTTTGTTTTCTATCCGGGGAGGGTGAAAAACGTAAGCTTTTGTTTAACTTACGTATATGTGATACGATACTCAATATCCTTTGAGTCTTTCTTTATGCTCAGGAATTTTTGGCAGTCTTCCCATAGTCTTTGTAGTGTTAATCCAAGTTCATTTTGCAGTTTTGAAAGCATTCTTTTGCGCATTTCGCGATCCTTTGTTGAGACAAACCCTTGTACAAAAATAAGACACTTGAATTTGTCCGGGGTTAATTCTGCCAACTTGAAATCGTCGCAATGTTTATTCACGATTGATTTTCACCCTTTACGAGGTTAAGACATTTCCACCTTTTGTGAAAGAGTGACGCCTTCGGGCTGAAAAGCTCCGTCAGGCATGTAACTGCTTCCTCAAACGTTAAATCATTTGTCTTTGGCAAAATGTAATCCACAAATTTTCTATATTCTTCCGTTCCTAATTTCCCGAGTAATAGTCGTAGCTTTTTTGTTTCTGTCCAGTTTTGACAATCGATGTTGAAGATGTCTTCATGACGTCTGAAAAAGTCCCCGAAATTTTTATCCTCTTCTAGGGAATATTTGAATGTTTCTATCGTGTTCCATACTGCGTCTTGAGAAAAAGTCGCCTCTTTTTCAATATTTTGTTGTTGTGTATTACTCGCTACTTTTACAATTAGCTCCTGGAGTTGTAATTGTCTTTCTTCATTTTGCATTTGTCTTTCATGATTTTCCTTCTGCGTTTGTAGTAATATTTTTCCATTCTTTCTTGCAATTGTAATTGCTGTTCATTTTGGTGTTTAACAAGTTCTACTAAAATACTTTTAAAATCCTTCATGGGAAGAGTCTTACGAAAAACTCGATTTTCCGTATTTTAATCTTCGTAACTCTTTGTTACCCAGTTGTTGTGGATACTGGC